TGTGAGCAAAGTTAGGGGTTATTACTCTGTGATCTGGATACGTGATGAAAATATATAGATGCATTGAACAGGTTCTAGATTATAAGTATTAAAGCGAATTACGTCGCATTATTATTGATTTCAAGTGGTGGCCACTTATCTGTGCAGCAAACATAAATGATTATTGTCACATTGATTTCACTGCATTTTGACTCTTAAGCCCTTTCCCGTTATGAAGGTGGGTGCCGTTCACCGCTGAATCTCGGAACGCGTAAGCGGTTAGCATTAATTTTATTTAGAGAGGCATAGCGCCGCTATTTTTAAATAAATTGTACTCACCACAGAGAACTGTAGCGACATGACCGCACTCTGATTGCACTCTATGATAGCTGGTGCCAAACTGTTCCACACGCCCTCCCCCATGGCCTTGGGAAAGCCTGAAGACGATACCGTTATTTTATTTTACGTTTTCTTCTTGACTTTCGGAAGAAAAACTTATGATGTTCACGTATGTCATCGGAATTTGAAGGGCTTAATTGTTGCACCTTGGCTGGGCAGCAGCGGAGCAGTGCAGCAGGAATTGAATCAGCACTAGATGAGGGGCAGGATTAGCCATTTATTGTTTTCTAATTAAATTTTGTGTTTCATTCAAGCCAAATTGAATGACAAAAATATAAATGTATTTAATTGTTGGCACTATTACATGGTACTGGCAAAGGAGGTCCCATGAAATGGTAAAGCAATTAATTGGATTTGTTTTATTATATTTTTCTTGAGATGCAGATGCATTACTATGCTTTGTTAATCCAAATTGTATCGTGTTTGGTTTTGAAACAAAAACGTATACTTCTGGAGGCATCCATAATGCAGTAATTTTTGGGTTAGATCGTGTAAATATATAAATGTGTCATTAAACCCGCTACCACCCGACACAGCCAACTAGTAAGGGTTGTCACGTAAACATAACGTGCCAATTCGTCACGGGTACAGCACACCAGTGTGTTGGAGAGCCAGGCCACAACATTTACAATCTGAGTACGACGCTTCACCAATAATTACAACTGGCTTCATCAGGTAACAGCCATATTTGTCGGCGGGTTTAATGACACATTTATATATTTACGCGATCTAACCCAAAAAAAACCTGTATTATGGATGATATTGGTCGCAAAAGTCAACGTGTGAAACTACTACAGGCAATTTGAGCTGAATTTTTTTAACACAAAAAATAATTAATTTGAAAAAGTTAAGTAAATTCTATTTAAATGAAAACAGTATTTTGTATTTAAACTTCGCATATATTTTGATCGGTTGTTTGGTTAATCAAATTTGAGCTAATTATCCCACATTCATAGCCCATAGTTAAATTTTTTCTTCAACAAATTAACTATCAGAAATTTGTATTTGGTAGCCAATTAGTAAATATTCTACCATGAAAACGTTTATAAAATAAGACACTTTAAATATCACTGTTTTATATATAGCATTATAAAAGTACATCACTCCTCTAAAATCCCATTATTCCTCGAATATCTCGTAATAAATACATTGCTGTGCTTACACACGTTGATGTATATCTATTTTTGCTTTAATTACTGATATAGTTGAGATAAATAAATGTGAGTAATGTTACAACATAATTTTGCAATAATAAAACCATTATCCTGTTAAATAATGATATACTGTGTATATGCATAGATATACCTATTCCATTTTTAGCTATCAGATATACCATTTTAGGTTTCATATGACCAGAGTAAAAATCTTCCAGTAAAAATATAAACATTTGATTTCCTCTTGACTGCTGCAGAATATGTTTAGAGTTTGGCTGACAGCGCAACTATATATTAACCGTGTTAAACTGCTTCGCCAAAATATATAATCCTGGACAAGAGGGGAATATTCCTCATTTTGTTCAGCTCTGCTCTGTAATCCATAAAGTGACCAAAAACCTAAAATATTTATGCCTCCCTGAAGTAGGCATCCATGACCATCTGTTTATTACCTTCACATTTATACAGCCTCATTGATCTAAAAGCCATTTGCCACTCCTTTTCCAAAGTCTTAAACTAATCCATCAAACGCTACATGTACATTATGCAGCCAGTGAACACGATCCACAACCTTTTGTTTCAGTCCACGTTAATTCATGACATTTTTCACTGATTGTTTCAAGTGTCCACAGTGTGTGTCAGTGCAAGGGTTAAGTGGATTGGCCAATGCTTCATAAGGAGTAAGCTGTGCAAGCAGAACTTGCTGACATCACTGCAATATGTTATAAGAGGAATCTCATTTATTTCCATAGTTAAAACATTTAATTGAGAACCTTACTAATGAATGTATGCAATGGTAAGTACCCCCACACAGCAAATGCGTAGATGCTGGTAATGAATAAACAGCTAAGTACAATAACTACCAGGCATATACAATGTATGTGTTCCGTACTGCAAGATGATTGGATGTGTGTCCTTTGCTTCTCTGAGGCAAATAACAATTAACATTTATTTGAGAGAGCTTAGGGATTTAGGTGCTTCTTAAGAAACCTGCTGTGGTTAATCTTTGCCTGTCTTCTACGCAACCCTCTTAACTTTGATTCCAGTTGTGGATTCAGGAAATGTTCCGATTTGCACATACTGCGCTTTTCACAAACCTTGGCATTAGGTTAGTGTTAAGGCCAACCCCATGCTAAGTTACCTGAAATATATTTTAAACATCCGCATTTTAGCAATTTACCAGAAATGCCAGTGAAGCACGTGTACATCATGTGTGTTGTAGCCGACCACAGACAACACTCAGGAAGCAAGGGCTTCCTGTTATCTGCTCTGTTAATTGTAAGAGTAGTCGAGCCAGTGAATTCACCGTTTCACCCACAATATAACAGACAGGAGGTCATATACATATAAAAGGGGTTTTGTCACAGGTTGAAAATCAGTGATTTTCCTGATTTGCAATGGGGCACTCCCACTTAATTCCAGATTGGAAGAGTTCCACAATTGGTTTCGGTTATATGAACTCAGATTTCTGGTTGAGCGGCGCTGTCAGTTTGGGTGCTCAGCTCAAACTTGGAACGATGTGAGTTCAAATCTTGGTGTCACATCAGCCTCTCGATCCGCTGGGGCTCAATTCAGTAAGTATCACTTTGTAAGAGGTCAGCAGTGGATGAGCGTGGAAACACTTTGTGACACTGGAGTAATTGAGTGCAGCGATTGACATCCCAGCCCACAGGCTGCGTACCCCAGTGACCCCTATGACTTCACAACTGTTTTTTGGATGAGCCCAGGTGCCCAGAGTCTGAGCATCCTTGGCAATGAGTGCTGACCTGATCTTGGCCTGGCATGCTTACATGTGGGTGACCCAGGCCTGCTTTAAAATCATGGAAACACAAATCCCCTGGGGATTGCACCAACCAGAAAGGTCCAACTCACTTCAAGCTGGTTGTGGAAACAATACTATAGTGCCTGGCGATACAATAATTATATGGCCAGATTTTCCATCTTGGCAAATGTTCATTTTCATCATATTTTTTGCAATGCTTTTCAGCCATTTTGTCAAAACGTGAATCTGGCCCATAGCTTTTCCAAAATAATAATTATAAAGGTTCCAATATATATGTATGTAGAATCAATGGAAATTACTTGGATTATCCATTGATCTGGATGAGACAACCAGTTGCCCATTAATGTGCTTATGAACATTGTAAAGGCAACGTATTTATATTAAAGTTATCTAGTGCACCATGAAGCAGCTATGATTTTTAGGATAATGACATCAGCATACAAACACGTATCACTATATTTCCATAGAAGAAAAGGGTGTGTGGTGTGTTTTGTAGTACGATATTTTTCATTAATGTAAAACAGTCAGAGGTGTGTTTTTTTCTGAACATGTTATTAAATACCAAGTGTTTCCGTAGCCGACTAATAATTAACACGTTGCTTGCATTACATGTATCACATTGAATTTCAGTGGGTAACGTGTGATTTCCTGCCTCTGCAATTTTAGAAAAGGATTCACTCATCTCTGCTATAATATATCTAGAGCTTTTGAAATATTCGTAAAAGAGTATCACCCTAAACACACGTGATTTTACTTGACCCCTTCGCAGTTCTTTGCTTATTTTCAGATTCACGCAATTGTGCAACTTTTATGAAATATTTGTTCGATAATAATCAGTATGGCTAAAGAAGGCTTTCCTTTCCCCAAAGAGATTTCATTAGCAGAATGGATTGGGTATTTGGGGCAGCCTCACACCCTGCTGTAATTATGGTGCCTAAAGACTGATGAGAGCTTGAAGGGGCCGTGAGCGAGGGGCCGATGATAGATGATGCTTTGAGAGCTACATCGTGCAAAACGGACAAAAGGTCACAGTGCCTGGCTTAGCCCTGCCTTTAGCTTGCTGAGAAAGCAATTGGCATGAACTCACCATTGTGAGATAGCACGGTTGCGTCGTAGTCAAACGTAAAAAATGCGCCGTAGCTTGTTCACGAATTGTTGTGCAAGAAGCATGTGAAATGGTACAATTATCATTGTCTCATTGGAGAGAGTGTGATCAGTGTCTTCCTTTGAAGGGAACATTTCTGACAGAGGTTAATGTGCAGTATTTTTCTTAACGTCACAAGTCCCCAGCTGCATGTGCTGAGGTCTAGTAATGTGGTCGATCTCCCACAGCATAAATATATTTTTTTTCAAATCACAGTAATAATTGTTTACACTTTGAATTCTGTTTTATGAACTGGTCAATGCCGTGCAATACGAATGACAGCAGATTGTTAATTCCGAATAAGTAACTGGATTAACTACGTTTATTGTAATTTTAATAAATTGCACAATTGTTCACTGACATATGGCATAAATACATGAACATTATTTTTTTAACCGTGGCCATTAACAATCTGCTACGTGTGCACCACAATGCGGCTAAATGGTTACGCCGGTGCAATTATAAAAAAAAAAAACCCGCTCGTGAAATGTGGCTTTGTTTTTTTTTTTTACACCGTTAAATTCCTGCCGTGGCTTCGCAGCACCCTCACGATCCAGCGCGTGTGCAGCGAGGACGAGGGCATCTACCAGTGCACGGCCGAGAACAGCGCCGGCTACACGCAGGCCAGCGCGCGCCTTGCCGTGCTGGGCTCCGACGGGCTGCCCGGCCCGCCGTGGGACCTGCGCGTGCGCGCCACCTCCGCCACCGCGGTGGAGCTGGCCTGGCGTGAGCCCCTGCAAAACCCCCACGGCGTCATCGGCTACGTGCTGCACATCCGCCGAGCTCAGGGTGCGTCAACGACGGTGCCCACGTCCCCTTGCCCGCTTGCGGTGGATTCCGCCGGGCTCTGCGATATTGGCGGTTTGAAGCTTTTCATATAAAACGTATCTGGCCAATGTGGAATTGTAGGATGAATGTCCCTCGATAAAGAGAAGCTGGTCCTCCCGAAATGATGTGAACACTGTGTGCATAGCATATCCTCGACCCAGTTAGTATTTCATTTTTTTCACTTACGAGCTGCAAGTTTTAGAGCAAATCACTGCAAAGTCAGAGTGATTAAACTTTAGTTTGGCCTTTATGTATTACAGTGCCACTATGCACAGTCGAAAGTTTAATTGCTCAAGCTGTTTGGTAATTTTTGTAGAAGGTTACCAATGTTTTTCAGGCCATTTACAAAGTTCACTGTTAAGTAATAATTAAAGACCCTGTTATGTAAGCAGAAGTAGGCCATTGTGTGCAATATCATGGCCTGAACATTGTCCAAGTCAAAACACCAAGATGGTCAAGCATGATATGGGCAGTAATCCTCTGCATTAGCCACCCCTGGTCAGTGGTGGAAGTTCCACATTTTCATGGCAGAGACCAGTCTTCCTATTGATAACAACTGCTGACTTTTCACAGAATGTTACTCATTTAGTGAACCCAAAAAGGATGATATGCTAAGTTGACCCAAGGCCAAAATTGAAATATGCAACCTTACAGTTGTAAATAAAGTATTATATTCACAGGGCCCGTGAGCTGGTTACGTGTTTTTTTTATTTTGTTGTGAAAAAATAATCCTACCCTTACAAAGCAAGATGCACCCAGGTCTTCTTTGCAAAGGAGAGATAATCTATTTAAATGGGAATTGGGAAATGAGGTTATTTCCGTTAGCCGAGGATTCCCAAGGGTGGCGAATAAGAACGCAGGTGACAGATAGCAAAAAAAGAAAATGCAATCACGGCCGCGGAAACAGTTGCAATTGATCTGTCTATAGCGTATCTTCCCTCCCTATTGTGTACAATATTGCGTACAATATGGAAGCATAGGTTCTTGTTGAAGTTTCCAAGGCCGTAGACAATAAATAGAGAGCAATCCCCGTGTTAAAACCAAATAAAATATAAATAAAATAAAACTGCGGCTTGCTTGCCCTGTCCTTCCCGAACAAGATAGATGAGTTGGAGAAGTGGTTGTTCCGCTCCATGACATCACAGAGGGGCGCAGCTTGCCATGAACTCTTAATCTTGCTTAACGCGCAGCGGGCGCGTTAAACACAGCTAACAAAAGTCTATGGCCCCCATGGCCTGGGCATGCTAGGTCCCCTTTCATCACTCATCTCCCTTGCGTTTGTTCTCGGTGGTCAATTGTGTGAAATAAATAATCTTACATCTGAACAAGACTGCGTACCTGGGCAATGAGAGAGCATCACAACACTATGTGCTGGCAACAACATCATTGCTAGCGACATAGGCGGGTTCAGACAGAATGTGATGTGTACGGCACATACAGATAATGTTACACTAGTCAAGAGAAACTCCTCTCGTACCTAAATTATGTAACCCATATATGAGAAGTTCTACTTACTCAATTTGGGCATGGCATTACTTTAACATTTTTCAGGTGTTGATGCTGGAACTTGTTCTAGATCCACCTATTAAAAAGGAGCAACATGCATAGATGACATTTTGCTTCGGAAAAAAAAACTGTGATGTTACATGCATATGCACTTTTCATCATGCTCATACGCCTTAAGGTCCTAATTGAAATTCACATTAGCGAAGTGGTGGGTATAGTACACTCTGAAACCAGTATTTAAGTTCGATTTCTGGCCAGAGATAATGTGAGTGGTGAATGATATCTGAACTGACAAGTGCAGTGAAGTATGGTCAAGCAACCCCTGCCATGGCTTGACATGGCATGGGGAGCCCTTCATCCAGCAGTGGAATTACAATGAGCCTTTAAATTGCTATTATTGATCAATACTTGATTTTAGTAATGTTTAATACATTGTACTTTGTGAAATTAAGTAAGTACAGTACATTTGGTATTCAATTCACACCATTCTTATATCAAAGGCTATCACGGTGACACGATAAATTAATCATGCTCCGTTGATGTTGACTTTAAATTCTTGATGAGTAATCAGACACTCAATTGCAGTTAAATATTTTTAAACAAATGTTTACGTATTCTTTGGTTCTTTCGGTAAAGTCACGTAGAATCAATTTATTATTTTATTCTCATTCTACGTGACTTTACCGAAAGAACCAAAGAAGATGAATCCTTGCAGTAACGAAAGCTTTAAATCGAAATGTTTACGTACATTAGATATGAGATGAGCGTTTTTTTACGATTTCTTTGGCTTTCAATTTGTTGCTTTTACTCACAAATCTACGTAAAAAAAAATTCTCGACTTGTCACAGACTCGGAGGATCAGGAGTATCAGGAGGCAGTGAGCCAGACGACCGTACAGCACACGGTGTTGGAGCTCGAGCCATCCACCCACTACACCTTCTACGTCAAGGCCTACTCGTCGGGTGGAGCGAGCCAGCCCTCCGACTACGTCACCGCTGAAACGCTCGGCGAAGGTAATCCCCGGCTGATGGCCAACTATGCAACGGAGTCAACCATTGTAATGTTGCTAAGCTTTACCCTCAACGTGGTCAAGCGCCATTGGTTTCCGAAGATTCCCTTACATTGGTCGTGCGCTCCAGTCCAGAATCCAGTGTTAAATAATGTAGTTGTGGTAATAATGATGGCCTCGACATATTTTAAACATAAAGAGTGAGACATGAAACATGGTTTACGTAGGTTACGTAGAATTTACAGTTTTAATTTTTCCTGTTGCTTTATTACCATATTTATTTTACGTTCACTTTTTATGGCATTGTCCATCTTGTGAGAGAGATATAGCAGTGACCGTAATATTAAAATTTCGCGGTGCCATGGCTGCTGGTGCCTCTCACCTGCCTTCCATCTCTTGTGCTCGACCCCCCCCCCGCCCCCGCTGCCATCGCACAGTGCCTGCGGTTCCGGCCCTTTTCACGCGCATCCTCAACAGCTCCGCCGTGCAGCTGAGTTGGGAGCCGTCGGTAAAGCTGGGCCGCATCCGTGGCTTCAAGCTCTATCACGGCAAGATCTACTCGACGCGCCTGCAAGGGCCCCTGGAGCTCCCGGCAAATGTCACCAGCTACGAACTCGCGCACCTCGGTACGTTACCAGTGGTGCTTTGCACAATGTGGGACGCAGTGGTTCGCCGAGTTTTGAACAGAAGGATTTAAGCTTCGGATTACACCAACGTTGTTTGTACTGCCATGCGCATTGCATTTCATTGCTGATATTCATGCCCCTGTACCATCCACACTCGAGCACTCATTGCCCTCCTCTGTCATTCCTCACAATCACAATTCAGAATCCTTTTAGACTCATTCCAATTGCTTACTACTTTATTATATGCATGGCTGACAGTGAATTAAAATAGGTAAAGAGCTTTTGACCGCAACTCTGAAAAAATATACCTTTTTAAAATAATTTCTTTGAAATCTCATGTGATGATGTATTTTTTGTTCATGCTTTTACTACCAATAATGTCAGCCAAGCTAATACACTGTACTTAAAATTGCATTAAAACAAGTGTTAGCGATACGGTACGTTAATTCGAGGTGGAATGAAGGGTCTTAGTGTTTGCTTTGCTCGCCCTGCAGAGTCCTACGCTTCGTACGAGGTTCGCCTGCTGGCCTTCAACGAATTTGGAGACGGAAACTTCACAGCCCGACTCGTGTCACTCAAAGACAGCCCGCAGGCTGCAGGTAAATCACCAACGATCATTCTCGTGTCAATGCTTCTTCTAATCAGAATAAATTCGACTGGCTCCAAAAACACAAATAGCTTATATACTAAGCATGTGCGGTTGATCGCATGTGTTTTTTTGCAGAAGCGTGGGTAATCCAAATTCATATGTATGTCAGTACAACCGTATTATTGCGATGTTCATGTGCTCTGGTGTCAATTCCACAATCTTGGTTGCAGCATCAGAACATAAAAATTGATAAATAATTATTTTTCTTGTTTTCATCTGCTATTGCTATAGAAGCTGTTTTAGTTTTTCATTAGTGCCGGATTGTTAAATGTATTTGAATGATGATTTTGTACTCGCATATCCTTCCAGGTTCTACTCCATTTCGTTCATCAGTGTTCATATATTTGATCCAAGTGTCATAATAGGTCATATGAACTGATTGAAACATTTATTTTTCATGCACATTCATGAGTTGCAATTGCTCTAAATATTCTGCTGTGTTTTCTAGTGCATTCCATCCACTGGGAATGTTTTATTCTGTGCAGCAAACTTGTTGTACGTGACTTTTGCTTTGATCATATGCATCTTGGGTTCAAATTCGCAGACTGTTTTTTTAGATCTTCAGTACTTTCCAGGAGTTAATGTTATTGTTTGTAATAATAACGATGGTCTCAACATATATAAGATCAAACGTTCTACTTGTATGATTATGCTTGTACGTTTTGCCTGGCTCCTCTACATTTGTGTATTGATGATGACATCAGGATCAGAAACACGGACACTGACAAAAACATGAAACAAAATCTTAAAAGTGAGCAAAGAAGCATGGACAGGTGCATGCTTGGCATTAAACTAAAGAGACAGAAAGAGAAGCACATGGATCAGGAATTAAATGTAAATCAAAAGACATCAAATTGACTGCAAAGGAAAGTGGGTTTGGTGGATTTGAACAAGACTCATCACGAGAAACTGGTGACAATGGTAGCTAAAGGGTGAACTCACTGGAGAGGAGGACCATTGCACAGATGGAGTGATGATTAAATCAGCTCACGTAAAACAGTAAGATGGATTGCGGTGTCACAGTGCCATAAAGGATGTTGATAACGTGGGGAAGCCTTCATCAGGCAAAGGATATAAATGGCTGCTGACGATGATATCAGTCCAGGAGTGATGGTCAATTTCAAGCTGTCCATAATCATAACTACGTCAGTCACCCAGGCAGATTCGTAATGACCACAGGGAGAAGTGGCATTGAGAATTGGACATGCATCTGCCCGTTGACATATCTGGCAGCACTTCACAGGTGTAATAAGTTATATTCAACATTTAAAAGGACCATATGTCTTGTAGAGGTTTAGTGATCCAGGAATGATTGTATAATTGGGATGGGTGGTGCCAAGAAGCGGGCTTTGCATTATGGGTTATGTTTTGTTTTCCTTCAACCAGTGTTGGAGCCAACCGGCACGGATTGTGAGGGAGATACGTGGCAAGATGGGGCATCTACCACAGGCATCGTCATCGGAATCCACATTGGCCTGGCTTGCATCGTCATCTGTGTCCTCTTCCTGCTTCTGGGATACCGACGCAGGTCATCACCTGTGCACCAAATACACGCACACACACACTGATATAGGTGGTTGGATGATTTGTGGATAGTGTGATTGCTGCTAAGCCAGTTTACTTCACGTCTTGTGGGCACTTCACTATACCTGTCCAGAAATTATGTGAAATCACAACCGCGGGTTCTTTTTTTATATAATGTACACTTTACAAATAATCTGGCATCAGTTACAAGATTAAACAATTGTTTGCAGCTGGTGTCACAGCCAAAACTTGAAAAACGAACATTTTCCCATTACTACAGAGTAAACATTATCATTTGTATCTGCAACGTAACATTTTTCCTTAAAAACAAAATTCTCACATGGTCGGGTAAATAGCTTTAATTGAATGGTTTTAGACTAGAATTGTAATATTGTCTGGCTATATGCTCTGGGGAAATTACACGTTTCCCTCGCTTTATGCGGTAGATGTGTTCCAAATCAAAGGGGCACACAAAGCCAAACCGCACTAGACAGTTGCCTACCGAGTAGCGCATACAGTGCACGCAAAAATGTTGTCCAATGTCTTACCGCATAGCTGCATATGAGTGGATTGAAACTGCATATAGAAAATTTTGGGTAGAAGTAGATTAGCAGCTTATGTACGAAATCGCACAAATCGAATCTGCATGAAGTGAGGGAAACCTGTACTCTACAGCACATTACATTTTGCTATAACATTTTCTAAAACTTCACATCATGATGGATACAATAGTACTATGTTATATAAAATAACATAGTAAAATCGTCTTTTCTCTGTGCAATCTATTATGCACCGTGTCCAAAGCATCCACAATTTCTCCCTTTATCCATGGATCCTTAAGGATTTACAGAAAAAAACTCAGATGAAAATGTAATGTAGATAATTTAGATGACAAAAAAAATATTGCTTCAGTTTCACGACTGCGGATGGCACCACTATATTCTGATGTTGTTCTCTAATGCATTCGAAATGAAGCACGCCACACTGCTCATGTCTTTCAAGTGAAAATGCAATCGCTCAGCTCCACGGAGCAATTAGTTGCAGGACCCTTATGCGTTGTGTTTCATGCACCCAGCACACCGAAGTTCAATGTAGGTCATTGCTCTTCTCGTGACCAGGCATCATAGTGAGTGGATGCACACAGATAGGTCCCTCACCTCGTCACCTTCCAACTGGTCAGCAATGGCGATGAAGCAAATGTATTTTTATTTCAAAAATAATCCATTGCTGGCGTGGCATCACACCAATGACAATACAAACACACAAACCCCAAAGTACGACTGGGCTTCCCTTTAATTGCTTTGCTGGTGATTGAGAGGAGGTGAATGAGGCTGGGTGCTCACATCGTACCGTGAACACCAATTGATATGAACAGAATTAAAAAAAAAATGCGCGTGTGTATTGCGGCACAAGCAAAGTGCATAGTGACGTGACTCATCTTGCGTCGTTGCCTGTGAATCACTGTCAAGGGCAGCTACTGTTACCCATGAGCTGACTTGTCCACGACCTAGTCCACCGACATCATGAACACTTTCTTTTTTCTATAGGATCCTCACTCCATTCAGTAGAGGATACGCATTCCATAGTTTCGCCTAAAAAGTGTCTTATTAAACGTAAGAAATATTTAAGCAACCGTTACTTTGAGAAGCTGAACTGCTTAATTTTCAAAAGTGCCCCAACGGATTTTGCTTTTGTCATATGCTAAGCTCTACTTCTCAGTTATTATCCTCGCCTTGTCCAACATTTTATTCATTTATTCACGTATTTATTTTGTTGACTTACGGCGCTTTGACTTCCTCGTATAAATACGCTTCATATGTGTAATGTATTGATATTTTATTATTTTAACGCTAAGCACTGTTTGCCATTCACCCGTCAATTCGCGATTCTGCCGAGTTGGCTCACACCGTTTCTTTCCACACTGCGCGCGTTGAAGGTTTTTCGGGTGGCCCGGCGCGAGCGAGGGACGCGCGGGTCGCCAGCACAGCAACGGGGCGGCCCCGGGCGGCGGCGGCGGCGGCGGCGGCGGTGGCAGGATGAGGGCCAGGCAGCCGACCCCCGCCGTGGGCACCGAGAGGAAAGGGCCCCAGCAGCACCAGTCCACGCTGCTGCTCGCCGAGCCCCGCGAACTCGAGTGCTTGGTGTCGGAGCCTGACATTTCTGACCTTGTGAGTGTTAAGATTGTAACTGTAGAGGGATGCCCATATGTGTGTGTGTGTCTGTTGAACTTTCTTTGCAACGTACGTAATCAACTGCCCAAATCGGAGGTGCGATGAAACAACGATAAAGTTAGTATATGTTTTAAAAATGGCAGCGGTGTTACGTTTTTTTTCACCCCTAATTATGTGCTGTGAAGCGGGGGTTGTTAATCTGTTTAACATTCTTCAACTTGTTATTCCTTCTTTATTTTTTATTTTTTTTCGCACAGTTTAATAGAAGTTTGTCATACGCTCATTTTCACAGGAATGATGTTGGCACAAGCGCAGTGACCACTTTAAAAGGGGTAAACATCTGATCCTCTTGTGCTTCGCTTTCATAAAAGTGGAATACTCTTTCATTGAATTAGTGCCGTAGCGTTATCCTGATGCTAACTCATATTAAGTAGCAATACTGCATTTACTTAATGTTTTCTGAGATACATGTCGTACAAAAAGTGACAATGGTATGTAAAAATTGTCCATTCCCTCTCACCAACTCTACCACTGAAATGATCATCGCCGCAGTCATCATCATCATCACTACTATCGCTGCTACCTTCATCGCAACAACCGTCACTGTAATCATCACCACTTCTCTTCACTGTCATTCCTCCACTATTCCACCATCATGATATGCCCACCTGGCCATCCCTTTGCTGCCATTGTTTTGGCGTGGCCCTTAGCAATCCCGCCCCATCCTTTCCCTGGGTAGCACCCCCCAGAGTACAACCCACTTTGAAACGCACTGGCAGGAGAGGTCAGGTACGCCGATGGGAGGATTATGTGAACAGAGTGGAGGCGTAAGGGTGGTCAAGCGATGAAGTGAACAACGCTGAATGAGGGGTCAAGCAGACTGAGTCATGGGTTCGGAGGATTCAGTGAATGGTTGTTCACTTGTGTGCATGCATACCACTGAGGGGGTGGAGTACTGTAATAAGTTACATGTGGACATGAGATGAATTAGAGGTGCACCTGGCAGAGAAGGTTATTTCCAGCCTGGAGAGGCTATTGTCTAAAAGTGGATAAAGAACAGTCGGAGCTTAGCTGTGTTCACTCCAGCGCTGTCCTCTTGACAGTCTGGTCCCTTCACCTGATGAAGGCCGCTTGTGTTGTGGCCGAAACGTCGTGATTTTTTTTTACCTACGTGACTTTACAGAATAGAACCAAAGAGAACAGTTGACTGTGGTTTGTTTCAATATTTTCTTCTGATGTTTCATACCAAAGAATAATATTTGCACATTGAAGCAGTGCCAATAACAATTTACATAAAAATACAGGTATGTAAATGTATAGCATTATCCCTTCACTCTGTAAATATGTAGACTTTGTTATAATATTTGGCCATTTAAATTGGCAAAAAAATATTTGTTTTATGTTAACAGATAATTGTATGATTGCAAATGTGTGAATGATAGAAGACAGTATTTAAATCCTGAGACGTAAAAATCGAAAGTCTGAAATAACAGTGTACATGACTATAACACAAGTGAAAATTTAGCTACAGTGAGACTTTATAATAGCGAATCGGGATTAATACATGGGTGAAAAGGGGGCGTAACCTTTAATGTTATTCATATATGTGGTATTCTTTCTTGCAGGTTAATGGAACATTGAGCAATGTTGATAACGGCGTATTGATGGATGGTGTCTGTGTGGACTTCGACTCTTCTTCGGTTCCACGTGGCAACCCGTTGGATCAGCAGCAAAAGGCTCAGAACGTCCCTCAAGAGTCGCACTCCATTGTGCACAGGAGCCAAGAGTCCTCCGAAGAGCTCAACCCTGACTTAACCTCGCAGTGCGATACACAGCCGACCGCCATCACGAGAGTGGATTCAGCAGCTTCTGTGGAGATTGTCTCGTATGTGAGCGACCTTCAAGAAGTTTCAAATGAATCAAAGGAGGAGAGCAACTCTGACATTTCAACGGATGAGGCCCAAGAGACAAGTCTCCTATCGAGTGGTGTGGTCACCAATTCATCCGCCGATTCCTCCCCAAAACCATTTTGCAAGCTGTTGGAGAATGGCTGTGGGAAAGCAGCTGTGACGGAGATTTCTGTCGCACTCCGATAGGCCGGCTAACAACCAAGGAGCCTTTCCAAATGTTTCAAAAGTACTTTTTAATATAACCACAAATACCGTCTGAATGTCGAATTGCTATTACCGATTTCCAGTCCACTGTTTTGGTATAGCACTGATGAAGGAATTTTCTGGAATAAGCAACTACCTCAAGGTTATTTTTTGTTAATTTTTTACACTATTTGATAATACAATTGCTCAGATGGAGAAGCTCCTTGCTCAGATTTTGTCACAGGCCAGTGTTGTCACTCAGGTCAAAAGTTGAAACTCAATGCCCAACGTATCTACCTCAGGGCTAGCAGGAAACCCACGTGGCGTACGTGGGACTTTGTGAGGTCTCTTTCTTCCGTCAGGTACCAGAGTCAGCCTCTTGGTCTGGTGGAGAAGCCAGTACCAACATACATCGTCCGCTTCACAGCCTGGAACTGCAAGGGGCTATCGGTGCTTTTTATAGCTGGGACTTATTACTACTGACACCTCTGTGTGGAACTTGCGGGGTTAAAGAAAAAAACAGAAACACGTTATTGTTTTACAGACACGTGCATATTGTTATGTCATGTGTCTTAATGTGTTTTTTTTTATATCATCCATCTGTTACAAAACTGTGTTGCTGTGGCAAGTCGATAGGTTGGGCTGTGGCCTCTACCTCAGTGCAGTATGAATACCAACTCCACGAACAACGCTGGGCTCTTCAGACTCGCACATTCCTTCCTCACAGGTGGCTGTTACGAGCTGTGTCTTCCAGACCCAACACTTTACCACACTCCGGCAGGCAAGCAAGCGTCACCATAGGATTCAGACATTTTTTTTTCCGTGTGCTCCGTTCAGTGCAGATGCCTTGAGCGTCCAGTTGGGCTTCTTAAAAAAAGTGAATGTAGCCAAAGCCAGAATAATTTATTTCTTTGGCATGATGCGCATCTTTTAGTTGCTTGCTGAAAACCTAAGGGCATTTTGGAATTTTGTTATTGAGGCTGAGACTTCATATTGTTATATATTGAAATTTAATTTGTGTCATACTCAAAATCATTGAGAGATAATGTCAAATACTGTCGTTGGGCGGCAATTGGAGATACAACGGTTCAAGCCTTAAAGCATTAGGAAGTCTAAAATGTATGAACATTCAATATCAAACAATGATGAAATCCAGCCTTCGCTGTTTTATTAATTATCTTTCATGTTTTGTGTTTTTTTATTAACAAAGTTGAAATGTGCATAGAATATGTGTATGACAAAGTGTTATGTTTTTGTTCTCCATTACAAATCACTTGCAGTTCTCTCAAGGCAGTAATTTTACATATTACAAGTAATTTAATGCCAGTATGTAGAAATGTCAGGTTTCATGTTGTAATGTTGAAGAAATATATATGTTAACATTTCCTTGTTTTGTTTATCCCTTTTGAAATACACTTCGTTGAAGTGTAGACTATAAAGGCATGCTTCTTGACCAAATCATTTGTTTTAGTGGTGTGAAGAGATGTAACTGAACCATGTGTACATTGATGTAGTCCAAAGTAAAAGGTGTTTGTTTTAGAAGGATTAATTATCCATGCATGACAAATTGAGCATATGATATGTGGACAGTTATTTTTATTCACGAAGCACTTAGATTACAGATATTAAAATACGATAACTCTAAATTGCTGTAGTTGATTACTTGTAAGTTTGGCTTTAAATAACCTTTGTTGGTATATCTTTATTTTAAATCAAAACCAAAATGTTTAAGTTTTTTTCGGGGGGGGGGGGGTATTGTCAAACTACTGTAAAATATAAATATTTAAAAGTGTTATTGAACATTAAGGTATCATGTATTCCTTTCTTGTTTGCCAAGTTATATTTTTTTGTGGAAATGGTTTTCTGTATACCATGTTTTCACAGTCTATGAAGCTTTATCAGCATTACTAGCTTGCTCTGTTTTAGTAGTGTTTAGTCATTACATGGCAACACAAGTTAAATCCTGTAAGCGTAAAAAATAAAAATAAAAAAATCTTGTGTTTTTGCATGTTGTTTTGTAGATTGTTAACGGCTTATTAGGAGAACTAAAACTGCTCAGCTTATCATTATATTGCCTTCTAAGGACCTCTCAGACTTCAAACTGATGAAGAAAAAACCAAAATATGTGTTCGTATAATGCTGGAAGGCTGCACACTAATCTCAAGAAATGTTGGTGCTCTTGAAAACAAAAAAAAACCGTCAGTATTTTACTGGAACATTGTGAAATGACAGTGTTCTCACCTCGCAAACAAATATCGTGTTGTCTCACATACGGCGAAGGAAAAAAAGCGTGATCAAATATTGCGGATGTGATTAAAAAAAAATGTTGGACAGTTAATAATACAGCTTTTAAAAAAAAAATACTACCACAGTTCAAAACTCGCTCATGAATGCAAAACTCGCACATCGGTAGTACCACGGCTTAGTTTCTCGTGGCCGTGTTGTGAAGCTCTGACGATGCGCTGCCGGAACGTGCCGCGCGGCTGTTCGGCGCGATGTCTGACATTTAGCTCTGCAAGCTGGGAAATTCATGCCGAACAGCACGAAAAAAAACCCCATAGACACATCGGAGGAGCTCTCAAACACGAGAACTTGATGCATAACGCCAACGAATATCGATCAATCCGAGGCTTCTGCGGAAACCACATTGTGACTGGCGTATTAGCTCGCTTGGTTGACAGATTGTGACCAAAGTAATTGAGTGAAATCCCATCAAATTCGATGTTCCATGATTTGGCAGTGCTCTGAGATTTGTCGATGTGGTTGGCATAGTGCATGCAATGGTTGAACTTGGTTGTGTCTACTGTAGCCGTGCAGCTGAAACACGTGGCTCTCTTGTGATCGAGTGACCTTTGAGGAGCACAGACATCTCAGGGAGGGAACAAACTCTTGTTTTATACGTGTTTCCGGATGAATGTAAAATATTCACAGGGTATTTTTTTACGCTGTCCGGTTTTTCTTATCTGGGCATTATTTAGCATTGGGGAAATGCAAATGATCACACATCCTCACAATATAACTTTGCAGCCATTCATCTTTGCGTTCACTATGTAATGTAAGGCATTTGCAGGAAACCATTGTTTGCTAGCAAACTTAGGTTAGCCATGAACTGTATCTCGATGGTTACATTTTTTTTCTTCCAGTGGACTGTGTGACCACTTGTATGCTTGTGTTGACCGATTGATATTCTTGTAACGAGAACACTTAGGGTGAAAACTATGTGCGTACATGACATTGATTTGTATGTGTATTGTATTTTACCCTGATTGATATGTGCTTTAAAAACAGTACAAGTAGAAGCATTTAGGCGAAGTAGCTAAGTATTGAGTAGGTTGCGGTAGTGAGTAGGAAAAATGGACTCGGCTATGGTTTAAACAAATGTTATTGATCTACCTATTGTAATGCTTTGGAAAGAAAGTAAGCAAATTTCCAGCATGTGTTAGTGAATAGCTTTGCTCGTGCGCTGAACCATTGTTTGAAACCGCGTAAACCAATGTGTTTTGAATGTTTGACTCACCTCTAAGCCTCAGCCATTTTCATAGAAAAAAAACATCACCGCCTCATGGCACTTCAGTTAGAGCACTTTTGTACATGGAATTGAAGCATTCACTTAAACACAAAACACCATTTCACCAGAGTTGTTTTGCTTTATACCGTTTGTATTCTGTTCTCATTGACAAAAGTAGCAGCCTTAAGCTGGGGTTGTCTATTAATCTCGAAAGTGATGTAAAAAATAAATTGTCATCATATAAGCTTACAGTTGTCCGTCTGTGAAAGTTTTTTTTTATTGTTTTGGCTGTGGAATGTTGTACATTACGGTTATGGTAGTGCCTCTTTGTGTCTGCTGGGGTTTTGTGACCCCCATTAATCTACAAATGACATACACAAATGAAAAATAACAATAACCTCCGGTTATCACGTTTGGCTATGTACGGTACGAAATAAGTTCAACATGCATATATACAGTACATGCATTTCAATGTATGTGCCTTGAGCTTAAGAATTAAGTATGGCTGCAGTGTTCCACGCGGTTTTACCAGCACAGCTGCAATTATTTCACATACGGTGGGATACTACCTTTAGCTCTGAAAAGAACATTTGTAAAAGGCATCGCATAAATAGTGAATTTATTTTAGTTTTCTTCAGGGTACGCATCTGACATTCAGAATTTTGTTTTCATTATGGTTGTGGCGATGCAATTATATAATGTAATGTCACGTTCCATTACACATAATATTGAACAAATATTTGTTGTACATTTGGTTTCAATTTCATTGGTAAATTCTGAATCTTGGTTGGCCACGTGTTCGTACATGTTAATACATCCCTTTTCTGTAATGTTCGTACAAAACGCACATGTCAGAAGTGAATAATCACATATTGTTGACTAAATTTCATTTTTCATTGCATACTACAGTTCAGTGAATACTACATACTGCAGGACATGGCGGGGGCAGCGACGGTGCAGTGGTTCGCACACTGCGAAATGAACCCGACAACCTGAATTCAATTTACGGCCAAAGCTAACATTAGTGGCGAGCGATATCTGAACTGCTCCTGGGCCTGCCTTTCACCAAACTCCATGGGCAGTGTGTTGAAGGTCTCAAACAACCCCTATGACTAACAGCATGGGGAGGCCTTCACCCAGCAATAAATTGTGAAATGGCAGTAAATTTTTATTTTCATACTATACGACAGTTCATGAAGTTACGTAGTTTTGTGATATTAATGATTCTCGCGCAGACGTATTTACGTTTGTTTTAATCAGTCGTGCAGTGTGTGAAAACACAGCTTCCTTGCATGTATTATTACATCGCTTTTAAACACATGAAAATATACCAATCTGTTTTGAAGCATGTGAGAATCACCACCTGCATTTACAGTTCCGTGAAGGATACTTTTGCTGCTGCTGCTGCTGCTGCCTAGAACTAAATCACCCAGAACCTGCATGGTCTCATGAGCTAAGCAGGATTTTTAAGCCTGGAAAATGCTTCAGTGGATGACCACCATGCACGCTCAGGTTGTCGGAGGAATCTTCGGGGCTGTGCAGCATCGTGGCAAAAAGTGCAACCCGATCTATTGTTTTACTGTACTTCTATGCGCCCACATGTGCTCCCTGCTCCACTAAGTCGCATTGACCAATATGGTGAAGTATGGTCAAATAACTCACGACTTCCATGACAAACGGCCCTCATTCGGTAGTAGATTGACAGATACAGGTGTACTTGAACTGCTGCAATATAACGAAGGACAGAAATGTCCTTTATAAAAACCAGGTGAAAGTGTCCTGACATCTGTTTGTAAAGTAGGCCTGGGATTCAATATAATCACAAAGTACATAGGTAAGGGGGATCCAATATAACAATAGTGATTTTGCTTTAGCAAGAAAGACATTTTAAATAGTAATGTAATTAATCCAATGAAACAACATACAACTGAAATATTACATTTGTCTACAAAGCATAATAGAGGACAAACAATTACTTCATCTGATTGCAAATCATACGGATACAGTGAATGAGACTCTTAGTAAATTATCATACAAGCGTGTTTATTATTTTCACTATCAAAGCAGACAGAGCCATTTCCATTACAAAACAATACATTTAACATTGGTGTGCTTGGTTATTATTTGTAAACAAGCTACTAGCACATGTGTACATCATGTGTGTATACTTGCATTTTGAGTAGTGTGTAGAATTTATTTCAGTGGAAGAAGTTGGTTTGGAATCTGCCACACTTCTACTGAGATTCTAGACCTGAACCAAATCATCTGATTGGGTCTTAATAACCATGAATTGATCTTCGCAGAACGTGCTTTTGTCACGTATTCCTGTGAAGCTTCACGCTGATAATATAGAAAAATCAATAATCCTTTAGCAGTTTGACCCCCTGTAATAACATACCACACTTGCAATATTGACATGGTTATATAAATCCTGCTGATATTATGGTAGGCATTTGGTTTTGATGGCCAGCGGATATTAAAGAAAAGTCATTAGCTTCCCTTCCGGCAGTGGCCTCTGGAGCTGACAGGCAGGGTCATGGTGAATTTATTTTCCAAAGGTTTCCACCTCTACCTTTCCACCCCTGCCAAGGCCCGGGGTCACGGGGTGAAATGTAAAGCACAATTAAATCAAAACCTAAATGTCAGATGATGGAGATTAGTGCTTTGTGTGACTCAGCTTTAGCAACGAATACTAATGGAACAATGTGCCGGCTGTGATAAAAAAAAATCTAGTAAAGTTAAATACGTGAAAATAAATATGATTAAAATAAGTATCATTCACGTAAATATTATTCACTGAATTCATTTATCCACGAAATGTGCACCTTTACATTATATTTGTATTTGGTTTTCAATAAATTCTAGGGCAGGGCAATGAAAAATTGAACACAAGCAACACTATGTGAAAACAATAAATGTGAAATCACCCATAAAACATGTCTTACAAAATAAACATATAACACTTAAATGAGTGATTAGGCATGGGCATTTATATTTGTTGATATTCCGTTTACAGTTTACAATGTGAATATTTATTTATACTCGAGGAATTCGATGCGCTATAAAGCATTTTTTCATAGGTGTCCAGTCAGGGCGGGTAAGAACGTTACAACAACAAACAATACAAAAACATGACAATAGTGCAAAGTGCAAAGTAAACAAATCACCCAAACAAATACAAATAAAACTAAACCATCCCCATCCTACCAGACAAAGCCCACGAAGGTATTCACTTATTTTTCAAAAACGATCTGGCCACAAATGATCGCAAAAAAAGCTGCTTATCATTTGGAAATTTATAGCAGCAAAATTATCTAGTCTCAACGTATGAACCGGAGGATCCAGAGAAAAAATCCACGCGACCACGGGGAGAGAGACACGCAAACTCCAAATATACAGCAGGCGTCAGCGTCGATCACCCAACCTCCTGCATACCAGGCAAGGAAGATAACATCTCACCACCGTGGTTGAGGTCAAGCTTAATAGAATCCATATTATTTGGTTCTTTCGGTAAAGTCACGTAGATAGAAAAAAAATAAGTGAATAAAAATATCACGACGTTTCGATCGCAATACAAGCGGTCGTCATCAGGAAAAAGGGGTGAGCCTCTAAAGAGTTTGCCTGTAGAGGCTAACCCCTTTTTCCTATTGACGACCGCTTGTGTTGCGATCAAAACGTCGTGATATTTGTTCCATCTACGTGACTTTACCGAAAGAACCAAAGAATATGAATTCCTACAGTCACGAAAGTTTTAAGTCAATATTTAATAGAATCCATTTATATGAAAGTACATGTGTTTCTTAATACACGCTGTTGGATAGAGATGTCACATGCGTGGTGCATTGTACAGTATATATTTAAATGTAATTTAAACTTGACATATTAGAAGACCAAACTGAATAATTATAATTAACTTATCTTTTGGGATTCTGCTAGGAGTATTTTTTACGAGCGCTTCCTCCTGATCACCGATCAACTCAACACATCTCTCGTTGATAAAAACAAAGTAGTTGATCTAAGAATGAGAATTCATTGGACTCCAGGCCTCCAACCTGACTGACTCTTCATTCCATACTTTCAAACACGACATGCACATGTTGCATCGCACATCTAACATATCTTGTGGCAAGAGTGTTTAAAACAAACTAGTGGCATGAGATGGCACAGTTGCTGAAGGAGATGCTTACCATAAAAGGAAATATGGGCTCAAATATTGTCGCATGCAAGATTAGAATAGTCTCACAATGAGGGCTAAAGTTTTTTTTCTATAGCGTAAATTAAATTATTTGCATGCAGCAAGCAACCTTCAAAAGAGCATAAATAAGTGGTATTGATTGCTCAGTAAGAGACGTCTGTTGAAGTGACAGCAGGCACGTGGTGGCGGAAGATGCCATTGTGCCGCTTATCGGTGGAAAGGAAAAATAGCAACAGAAACACACGAAATGCATATCCATCCAAATGCATCCCGCTCAGAGGAGATGCCCGCATGTTTATGCAGATGTGCTCCACGTGGCAAAAGGCAGTCGGTGTGAGGGGATAGAGTGCAGCCAGGGTAGGGCCGATGGGAGCAAAGGGGCATTTACCCCGAATTGATGGGCTAGGACAGGGGTCGGCGACCTTTCAAAGAAGAAGAGCCATTTTTTGTTTTTTTTTGTCTTTGACTAAAATAGTTCGAGAGCTGCGTCTGCACTGCAGAGCTACTTGAACACATACACAAACACAGCAGATATACAGTCGATGACAAAACCAAATTCTGCCTTAAACAATTAGGTGATGGAATAAACTGCGTCTCTTCAGTTTATTTCTCCCTTAGTTATTCGTTAACAACACAGTTTGACTGAACATTTGGTTGTCACCCAGACATTCCCTGCCGTATTTAGTCAATCATCTTTACGCTGAGTTACGTCTAAGATTCACGTCACCTTTTAAAGAGCTGCCTGCAAGGGGGCAGCCAAAGAGCCGCATGCATCTCCGGAGCCGCAGGTTGCTCACCCCTGGTCTTGGAGTTCCAATTAAAAGTGTTCTCCTGCACAATGAGCTTGAGGCAGGGCTCATCTCCCGTTTACAGCCCGAAACCAGCGGTGGAAATTCCACGATCCTATGGCGCCGGCGAGTCAATCGCCCTACTGTTAACGTCCCCACACAAATGGTATGCATTTAATTGACCCTGAGGGAATGATAGCTGTCAACCTCCGAGTAGAGGTTTTAAATAGCCCATTTTCAAATGTTGTGAACATATTTCTGTGAAAGT